CTTTCTAGGGTTAATGAACTATCAAGATCAGGCTCAGGGTATTATGGGTAGTTTTATTGCCACTTTGTCTCTACTCAGCCGAGTGATTAAGGCTTAGAGACAGGATTTTGAGGTAGTGTCCATCAGGGACAATATCCAATCGGGATTAGGTGACAAGGATTGGACTCACCATTCCGATGGTAATCTACAATATAAAGGTAGGGTTCTTATTCCTCAGTACATTGAATTGAGGGAGGACATACTTCGAGAGTTTCATTTCTCTTATTTTGGGAATTTCATCTACACGGGAACATGAAGCGGTTTGGGTTATAACAAATCGGCTTACTAAGTCGGCCCATTTCTTAGTTGTATATATGACCTTCACACTGGAGGAATTCAGTTGGCTATACATTTGGGAGATTGTCCGGTTACATGGGGTACCCATTTCTATAGTATCGGATTCGAATCCCCAGTTTATGACTCAATTTTGAGAGATCTTTTAGCAAGCCATGGGCATGCAATTGATGTTGAGCATATATTTTCATCCATAGACGAATGGCCAATCAAAGAGGATGATATAGACATGCTTCGAACATGTGTCCTTGATTTTAAGGGCAGTTGGGAGGATCACTTGCCCCTAATGGATTTTTCCTATAACAACAGTTATCAAGCAAGCATACAGATGGCGCCCTAAGAGGCTTTGTATGGGAGACCATGTAATTTTCCAATTTGTTGGACGAAAATGGGAGAAGCACCTTCCATGGGTCCGAACTTGATTAGGGACACCTATTAGAAGGTGGCTAGTATACGAAAGCGTCTTCTCACAGGTCAAAGCTAGTAGAAAAGTTATGCCAATCAACAGTGGAGACCTCTAGAGTTTGAGGTGGGTGATCCTGTCTTCTTAAAGGTTATACCTAAGAGAGTAATGGTCCTATTTTGGAAAGAGGGACAATCAAGGCAATGGAATGAGGAATCAAGGCAGTTGCCAAATTTGTCTAGTGTTCACAGCGTGTTCCATGTTTTTATGCTTTGACAATACACTCTAGATCCTACACACATGGTAGATTGGGGTGAACTAGTGATTGACGTATATGGGACATTCGAGGAGGGACCAGTTCATATTTTGAATAACCGAAACTAGATTTTGTGTGACAAGGCTATGAGGTTGGTTATAGTGCTATGGAAACACCAAGATATTGAGGAGTCTGCATGGGAGCGCGAGGACACTTTATAAGCTACCTACTCATTTATATAGAAAGATGGAGATACAATTTAATGTTATTGGCATACAACATGATTACCTGTGCATTTTTCTTGTGTTGAATGTGTGTAATTTTGTGAACGAAATTCCTTTAAGGAGGGAAGAGTGTAAAGCCTGGAAAAAAAAATTAAAATCTTAATTAAAGGAGTAATACGGTAACTAAGTCATTAAGTACGGTTTAAAATTTTAAATTTTTTTATAACTCGAATGAAGAAACAGACCTCACCGTTGGATTCTTCTCACGAAATGGAGTTAGCTTGTCAAATTTCATTAAATTCTAAAACAGTCAGAATTTTCACGTAAAACGAGACAAAACGTGCAATCGGGTGACATGGATTAAATTCCAGAAACTTAGTTTTATTCGCAGGACCCACAATATAAATGACTAGGCATAACCCACAATATAAATGATCTTAATATTTTGAGAATATTATCCAATTGGACATGTGTAACATTGTGATTGGCTCTCTATGATTTTCAACCAACCAAAAGGTGACATGTGGCACAAGTATGGAAGAGTATATAATGGAGAAAAAATCAGATTTTTTTCACATTTGCCTCACATTTTCATTAGAGAGGGAGAGAGAGTTCTTCAAGCTTCTCTTTCTTCTTCCTTTCATCATTATTGATCTGATTGTTAGAATTCGAACAATCAAGAATTAGAGGTGTTGTACTCGACGAGGGCAACACGTCAACGCCAACAACGACTATTTTCCATAACATTCAAAAATCAAGGATGTTAGAGCTAGGACTTTGAAGGACTTGCTTTGGGTATTGTAGAGAGATTTTCTTCTTGTTTATGCTTCAAATGTAAGGGTTTCCTCATTGTTCCATGCTAGAACTGAGCACATTGAGATTTACTATCATTTTATTAGAGAGAAAGCGACTAGGAAAGATTTGGAGGTTCATTATGTATCCAGTACTGATCAACTAGCTAATGTCTTCACTAAATGCCTCTCTTCTGCTAGGTTTCTTCTCTTATGTGACAAACTCATGCTTGGTGTCCCCCCCCCCCCCCCCCCAATCGTTTGAGGGGCAGTATTAGCACAACAGATGCCTCAGTTTAGCTTAGTAATAATAGATCTCCTCAAGCAATAATAATGGTGTATAAACAGGTCTCTACAACTACATCAACACTGAAGCACATCAGTAGCAAGCTTCAAAATACTGCCACTGCTCTAGTCTGTAACAAGTCAAGTGCCATAACAACTAAATTAATTATAGAATTTGTGACAACTAACTGTGGTGCCAATTGTAACTAACTATTGACCCTAGATCTGAGCTAGCTATGTGTATAAATAGTAGATGTAATCACACTTTTGGAAGGCAATGAGAATCAAGTTTGTTTGCTAGTCTTCTTCTTCTTCATATATTATCTATTGAGTTAGAGAGATTATGAACCTAGCGGTCATTTGCGATCTTCTCCATGAGAACAATTTTTTTTGCTCTACTTGTTATTCCATCTCTCTTGCTCTTTGATTGAACACCATCACAAGCTTCCTTCCATAAGCGTAGATATGTAGTAATATACTTTTTTCATTGATCATGAAAGACTTTTGAATTCCAATATTGACAAAAGAGGAAAACACAACTGGTGCATAGAGATACAATTGTTGGTGGAGGGAGAAAGGGGCAGCAATTTACGATGAAGTCTCAATATTTAGTTTCGTCATAATGAATGAGAAGTGGGGGCATTAAATTTTATTTTGATGAGCAGTGGAAGAGGTAGAAGCCCCCAAATCCAACCGTCTCAAATGGAACGGGTCTTCTATGATTTTATGAGGGGTTGTAATTGAAGTCTTAGAGAATGGCTTACTTGACTTGTAGAGAGAAGGCCAGAAATCTGTAGAGCCGCTAAGATAAAATTAAAGAGAGACAGAGGGAGAGGGAGGGAGAGGGGGAAGAAAAGGAGCGCGGCTATTTGTTCTTGACCGAGTGATGAATACGTGGGGGAGGGAGGGATAAGTGTTGTAACGGAAGAAAAATTGGAAAGTAGTAGCGTAAAGGTGATGATTTAGGTTTTGTATGCCATTAATTTTGAAGGAAAAGAATTGCATACTTGCATTGTTGGAGGGTAAAGATGAAAAAAAAATTCAGATATATTAATATTTTAAAGTAATATTGACATAAATGTGAAAATGTATAAGGAATAGTGTGAAAACATCAAATGGAGGGCTACCAACAGTTCCTTTCCTTCTTTTTCTTTGCATACGGTAAACATACAAGGCAAATTGCACTTTGACCCCTCAAATATGACATTTTTATAGATTCTCCCCCCAAACTATCCTATTTTTCACGTTGTGTCATCAACTATGTGATTAGTTTTATATAACATCCATTACCTATTTGATGAAATTTTATTTGTTTTGCCCCTCAAATTACGTAATTTTGTTTTTTACTTTGTTCCGATTTCTCCAAAAAGATAACAGGCATTTATAATTAGAATAATGTGAAATAATTCATGTAGTTGAGGCTTGGACAGACAACGTGGAAAATTCAATAGCTCAAAAAGTAAAATAAAATCGAGTCCATAGTTTATAAAGGTCAAACTATAGTTTACCCTACACATATATTAAAGGTCTCTTCCCCAAAAATTAAAGGGTTAGGGCTACCTAGTTCTCAAATGATCCTAAAAATGACACAACCTGCTAAAGCGAATAATAGACAAGTTGGTGTAAAACTCAAATAACTCAATTTTATCATAAACCCATTTAACTGCTATTGTATGAAGAAAATATAACTCAATTTTATCATAAACCCATTTAACTGCTATTGTATGAGGTAAATATATGATTCATTCATGTAGAGAGACTGGTTGATTTTCCTTTCATTTTTTTGACCCAAGGTAATGTAATCGTGTACAAGTGTTTTTCCTTGCATGTCCTATAGCTACACATATCTGAATAAGAATGTTGTTTGCCACTCGGCACTTTTGCATGAAATTGCTGAAAGTATTTTTGTATCAGAAGTATTCGATCCAAAACACGTTTAGACACAACACACTTCATCAAACAATAAAAATAAATAAATAATCTGGTTCAACGAGGGCAAAACACTACTGAAAAATAACTAAAAATTACCCCCAATGGTAAGAGCAATGCTATTGGGGCCTAATTTACTATGACCTTTGGATTGACTGTTGACTCCATCAAATATTGGAATTTTGTGTTAATCTAATGGTTCTAATGAAGCCACATCATTGGCTCAACAAATTATGTCTGATTTTTAGGTCCAAATAACATTTTCCAATGGTAAATACTCCAAAAGAAATTTCCAATAATGCACATTTTTTGGGGTATGTACCTAAAATACACATTGCTCACAAACGGCTTAAGATTTTAAATCCAAAAACCTAAACTATCTAATATAATACAAGAGCATTAATAAATGACATTACCTATTTTTAGGCGCTTTTAATTGGTCCTTTGGACACTCATTAAGGAATGTATTTCGATATCCACAACTTATGAGAGTTTCAATCTTTTCTAGTATTATTTTTTGTCTGAAATAATCAAACTAATTCAAATTGCAAAAGCCTCATAAACATCATCCATATAATATGAATTTGAATTCATCACACTTCATTAGTTGAAAATGAAGTGAAGTGCTCAATTTATCATGTTGTTATGAAGCATCACCTGACTACATTGAACAACTATTCCAAGATTTCGACAAAGTAGCCAGTCAAAATTTACATGCTATGCATGTTGAAAAATAACACACATTCACTCTCCCCACCAACACACGGACCATCTGATCTCTAAGAGCCTGAAAGAACTTTCGTAAGAGTAGTCTGCAATGAAGCGACTGAATCTATGGCAGACTTCGTAAGCCAACTAATCCCCACTTTTAACCTGTGCTCATCAGTCGGTAATCGTATCAGGTATGCTATTTTCCGTGCTGCAATAGGAGCCACACCACAAAATGATATAAAATTAAGCCAAAAATGGAGAAAATAAGGACTTCAAATAATCAACACAAGAAGGCTGGTTTTACCAGTGTGACCGACAGGACCCTCCAGGGTTAATCCCTCAATAAAACTAGGTGAAATAGCCGCATCATTCATCCCAAGAGTCATCATCTCACCTAAATTCTGAAACCTGCAGTCCAAAATTGGGTATGGGACACAAGTAGAACAAAGTTCAAGAGTTACATTTAGCAAGTTTCGTGGTGGGGAAAAAAAAAGTGTTCAAGCATAATAAACATTGTAGGATGGGTTATTTGTGTATCATACACAACGAAAATACCAGAAATTCTCATATTGACTACTTAAATTACTGACAGTACGTCACGGGGAAGTATTTCAAGCCATAATATTTTGCCCACTATGCTACAGGGCATAAATTGCGAAGGCAAAGAATTTGCAGTAAAAATCATCCTCATCCTCTGCAAATCATTATTCAAAGGCCATAAATAGCACTACACAACAGCATCCCCAGAGTATTGGCAATTTCGGCAGACCACTGACCATTGTGTTTGCTAGTTAATACTCTCTCTCACACACATACACGTACACAAGTGCGCGCAAGCATGCACATGCAAAAACACTCAAATAGGCACAATTCTGTAAATGCTTTGGCAACCTAGACAGCATTGAAATGTCTAGTGACCAGCCACCATCATAAAGGGCATGGATTCTACATGCCTTGATTGGCACAGTATTCAAGACAAACCATACATGGTCGGTTTGGTACTCCTTTCTCTATCCACAAGAAGCCCAATAATATAAGCTAGCAGTTGCTTAACATGGAAGAACAAAATCAGCTAAAACAACTAGTGGTATGCTGTCACCTAAAAGGTATGGGATATTGGCTGGTTTTGATCGTCTCTCCCGGTGATAGATACGATCATCCATGATGATCAGTGGCAATCTTCATATGTTACTGAATTATTATTCTTTTCTACCAAGAGCTATCTGCAGAGGCCTCCAAAAATGTTTCTCAAATAACTTTTTAAGAGTTTGAAGCCACAATAAAATATTGAGAGTTCAGAGAGAATCATGCAGTGAAGATTCTGGTTGTTTCATAACTCTGTTGCTTAGGAAAAAAAATCGGATTTTCAATGTGATTAGTAAATGCATTTTTTCTTATGAAACACTCCTAAGATTCCCTAATTACGCATTATGCTTAGAAGAAGCAGAAATGAGAGAAGGCAGATGCCCAGTACACTGTAGAAAATGAGGATAAATGATATAAATGTTGTTTGTGGATAGATAGTTTTTAATAGTCACTTTCAGTTCCTATCATGTTACTTTCCTATTGTTTTCCTTTCCTATCACGTTCTATTTTCCTAGTATTGTAATTTTCTTCAATATCAATCAAATATAGGTTGTAGACAATACAAACTCCACACATGATATTGTTTCATAATCCTTTCTTCCTCTCTTCTCTTCTTCTTCCTCATCTTCTCTTTCTTTGCCAATTCAAGTTTCAGCTAGGTATCGAAGCCGACGGCTAACCATCCTAGTTGAACTCTTCGAGCGGTGTAGTGTGTCGGTATTGGACTCTTAAAGAAGAACGAGATGAGCATTGGGAGGAACTTCAGGATTTACTCACTAAGGAGTATTTCCCGCACCGATTTGACTTGCTTAGAAAGCTAGAAAGGAGAGGGAATTCTACATACTCGAGTTGTCGAAGAGGGTCCGAAGGAGCTCGACTGAATGGAGAGGGAACATCCGGTTTAATATGGTCTGCTGGTACAGAATTCGTTGCCATTGGACTTGGCAAGTAAGCCCAGAAGGAAGAAGTCATAGCTGCTACCTTACCTTCTTCTTCTTAGTCTGCTTGAAGGAAAGCCAGTAACTCGAGAGTAAAAAGAAATAGAATAGAGTATGATAGAACCCGTAACTTTGAAGAGTCACAGTAATGGATGGGCCAGCCTCTACCCAATAATGATGCAGCTGCGAGGGAAAAATGTTACATGTCACTAGCTTTGCCTTAATAGAATGGTGAAGCGGTTAGTCAATGAATCCCTTGTGGAGCAGAAAAAAAGGTGGGCTCTTGATAGAGGGAATATGATAACTCATACGAGCGTGTTATAATATTTTTGATCATGGATGAGTGGACTCTTGCAAAGAGTAATTGAACGCGGTGCTTACTTGGAGCAGTACTAAACAGGATGTAGTTGCACATTCTAGTCTGGAAGCTGATTATAGTGTTACAACTCATATTGCATGTGAGATGTTGTGGGTTCATTTTTTACTTCCTGATCATAGTTGTTAGTATCGTACGATACGCGATACATATCGTACGATACGTCACGATACAGGGGTAAAACGATACGGATCATAGTTTTGTATCGTTTTTGCGTTGTCTCATCCGATACACGATACATTTTTACAATACGATATGAATCGGTACGAGACTCACGATACGTGCAAAGTCTGTTTATTTTTTTTTTTTTTTTTTTTTTTGATGGAACGATGTCGTTTTTGTGCTAAGAGACTGATTTTTTTATACCTATAACCACTGAAACGACGTCGTTTCAGTGGCTAGGGTTTACAAAAAAAATAAAATCCCTATTTTCCTTCTCCATTGTTCGCAGGTCTTCGACTCCTAGGTGTTCTTCAGCCTTCGACAACAACGACGATCACAACAGCCTTCTCTCTGTTCTTCCAACGAAACTGCCTCTTTGTTCTTCCATCTAAGCTGCCTCTATCGAAGCCCAGTCTCCATTGAAGCTGCCTTCTTCTTTCTTCTCAAGGTAATCTAGCGAAACCTGTAGTCTTATGCAGTGTAAGAAATGATGTTAATTTATTTACAAAGCCAAATATTTTTTTGTTTTTTGTATCAAATTTTCTTAATCTTGATTAATGTTATAATTTTTTTGAAGCAATGGCATCATCATCCTATTTTCATATAGAAATGACTAAAAAACTTGCTAATGATCCCACATGGGAACATTGTAGAAAAGTAGAAAGATCAAGGTTGAAATTGAAATGCATTCATTGTGCAAATGTCTATTGGGGAGGCATTTCAAGAATGAAAAATCATTTGGCAGGTAATCTTAAAGATGTAGCGTCATGTAAGCATGGAAGTACCTGAATTTTTTAAGCAATTGTTGGATGATAAGGCTTCTAGCAAAGATATGAGTCTTGTGGATTCGAAACCTTCAAAAGTAGTAGTAGCAATGTGTGTGGTAGTACTGCTAATAAAATACAACAAACCACTACCATTACTTTGAATACCATGTTGAAGAAAAAGGGTAGGGAAGATGTATGCTTGGATATTTGTAGATGTTTTTATGCTAATGACCTTCCTTTTAATTTGGTAAAGGATCCATATTTTGTAAGAATGTTAAAATCTGTTGCATCGTTTGGCTATCGTATCATGAGATGAGATGTTCTTTTTTGAAAAAAAAAAACAGCTTTGATTAATGGTGGGTTGATAGAAAATTATAAAACAAAGTGGAGAAAGACGGGTTGTACTCTTATGTCTGATGGATGGACTGATGGGAAACATCGCTTTATTACTAATGTTTTAGTGAATATAGTCCTAGAGGAAGTGTGTTTCTTAAAAGTATTGATACTTCAGGCATTTGTAAGAATACAGATAATCTTTTTGAGCTTTTAGATTCAATGGTAGAAGAGATTGGTGAGGACAATGTTGTTCAGGTTGTGACTGATAGTGCATCGGCTTATGTAAAAGCTGAAGAGTTGTTAATGGCAAAGAGGAAATGTCACACCCCAACTCCAAGGGCATGACCGGCCATGAACCATAGATCCATAACCTATGGAACACATAAGCCTAACAATAAACTAATAATATAGGAGTGGAAAATAACATTTACACTAAATTGATCTCATGTCAATATGTCAAAGTCAACATACCTAAATCTGTTTGCCCTAATTATCCAAACAAGTAAAGATGACTATATGCTACGGAGGTCACAACACTATTAGTCCCCAATCAATTCCTCGAGTCCACTATTGACACTCCAATTGTTTTCCTGGAAAAATATTATCTTGGAAAACATTAGCTAAAAAGCCCAGTGAATGGAAAGGTATGCATATTCAAAGTCGCTGAAAAATATTTTTTGCATAAGACATGTAAATCAAAGAACTGAAAAAATAACTTCATCAAGATAACCAATTTCTCAAGAATAACACAATCGGGTTTCAACAAGAAATCATACCACAACGGTGAATCATATCATAATGGTGAAAACTGTACGATATCCAATAATCGAAGGAAACCAAATACCAAATACTAAAATATATCTCAAGGTTGGATCCAACATCGTACTTAGGGTCACCACAGCCTCCACCGGGTCTGTTCCCTAAGACGATCCGATGAAGGTCACCAAGACACACTAGGCACTGTTCCTTCAACCGTTGAGCACTAGGGTCACCTTAGCCTCCCCGGGTCTATTCCCTAGCGGCCAGAGTCACTCGCACACAAAGGAATAATTTTTCTGGACTTTTAATTTTGGTCTCATTCACCATCACTAAATCTTACCATATAAACAAGTGATTGAGTCATAATACTTCACAAAAGAATTCATCAACGTAAGGAGAATCGTATGCCGCAAGTATTTAGACACTTAGTAATACATTTTGTAAAGGTAGTAATGAACCAGCATGATGTATTCTTTTTAAAATATTTAGAGATATGGGAAATTTTCGAAAATACGTAGCATGCCAAACCACTTACCTCAAGTTTAAATGATATGTTTTTTGAGTGTTGCTTGTTACCCGAAATGAGATATTATCGATGTCTTTCCTCTTTCTCTCACGATTTCTTTTCTCCTTTGATAAGGTGTTCTTCTTTCCTTCTTCTTTTACTCTCTATTCTTTCTTGAAAGTAGAAAACTACTTGTGCACTTTTATTCTTAATTCAATCCCCAAATGCCCAATTTATAGGCATCCTAGGATTATTCTAGAGAATATTGACATGTGACATTTTTAGGGGAGATTTCTTAGAATATTCTACCATATCCCCTCTCCTAGATCATTCTAGGTTTCAAGTTTATTTTGCACATGGCAATTCCACAAGTATCTAGATTCATCTATAATATTCTAAACTCTTCTCCAACCTTCTACGGAACTTTCCGGAGCATTCTAAATCTCTTTATAATCTTTTAGTATTTCCTAGAACCTTCTAAAATATTCTAGACTTCTCTAGATTGTTCTAGAACTTTCTAGACCTGTTTAGAAACTTCTTCAGCGTTCTCGATTTTTCTAGACTATTCTAGATTTTTTTTTAAAAATTTTCTTATTCCTTCGAAGATAATATTCTCCAACTAGTTCTTTGCCAAAATAGAACAGGGTGTTACATTCTTCCCTCCTTAAAATAATTTCGCCCTCGAAATTATGCTAGTTATCCCAGCCGAATAAGTGTGGTATTCCTGATGCATTTGCCCCTTTGCAAAAAAAATGGCCTCGACTGCATGATTCTTTGTAATCAGTTAACCAATTGATTTGCCTTTTATCCAGAGCCTGTATAATTGCTGCTCTTAGGTCAAGCCACTATGAACATAGAATAGTTCATTGTAAATCACGAGCAATGAGCTATAAATATTCTTACTTAACATAGACACATGGAATATGTTACACTCGCAGCAAGTCGAGGTGATAGAGCCTCTCAATAGACTGCCACACCAACTCTCTTCGGGACTTTCAAGCATCCAATGCTACTAGACTTGACCTTTCTTTAAATTGAATAACCTCTCAAAGCATTGTAAAATCCAATAACCAAATTATTATCATTTCTCATTCCATAACTAGCCGATCAAACTCAAAGTAAAACCATCCAGTTCCGCAATCTTGTCAAGTTTCATTGTTGATTTCGATAAGCTATCTAAGCCTTCACTCCACCAAACTCTTAAGATTAACATTATAGAACCAAAACTTAATTAAAAATAATGCCAATTCAAGATTTCACACATTAAAGAATTAAGGCATGGGTAGTTTCCGAGGTTAAACGATTACTCCATAAAACCCAAGGCAACCTCGCAGAAACCGAAGTAGAATGAATTTGACCACGTTAATGATAACACCTTTTGGAAGCAACATTACATGTCAAGGATGTCTAGAACTAAGGTTCACAATATGTTCTAAATCATTTTTATATTCTCTCTTTCCCAAACTCTCACGATAGTGTTACTAGTCCCCACTTATTACCTTTAGAATATATCGTTAAGATGAAGCACCTCGCCATATCACAGAATAACTCATGGCTTCCAATCCATTATTTTATTGTCTACCCTAAGCCTCGCACATCAAACTCATCCATGAGTAACCTAATAATTCTTGTGCACCTCAGAAAAGCAAACCTATCTGATGAAGAAGAAGAAATTGATAATTAACCATTACATGTTGCGAACTTAAAACCACCAGCATCTACCATCTCGTATATCTCTTTCTTCGATTGTCTCCCATTAAAATTGTTCTCTTCCTTTACCAACTCATTTATGTATAAAACTTGACTCATCACTCTCTCCCAGGCAACTTTCACAATGATCAATCATACCCAAAATCTCTCTTCTTTAAAAAATACTTTATTCTTCAAAATTCGGAATATCATTTCTCCTCTTACTGAAATTAAGTGTCCATCTTTGCAACTTTTGATGTGCACGTTGTCAAAATATTAATATTTATGCAATTGTAGCTATGTGAGCTAATTTAATATCTATTTCTCCAGGATTGATTAATTATCATTACTTAAAGCGGGTTTAAAAGATCAACTATAGAGACTCAGGACCTCCACCCTAACATTTGACATTACCACAAGACTTATTCTTTTTACAAAGC